TGGCATTTTCCTTTTTTGGCTTCGGTAAATCCAATTTGCTGGCATTTCACAATTGCACCGCAAAATAGAGCAACGGAAAACGATGAAAAAAGTGTAATCCCCCCGAAAACCAGATCGTTATCCCCCCACTGGCAGAGCCTCAGCCCGCCGCCCATGCAAATTGGCCGCAGGCATTGGGGCAAAAATTGATATGCATATAACCTGAACAAGCATCTATATAGTAAGTCTGCACACACACACAGTTATATATATGTGTGTGTGTGTATTTATATATGCAATTTGTTATGCAGTTCGGCGGGTTGGCGGGCGAAAAGTACAGTACGTTCAAAATACACGACTCTTTAGTTGAAAAGGTGTTCGAAAAAGGAAAACCTTTCTCCTGAAACCTTGATAATAATTTCAGTGAGATTTCTGTTTTGATTTATTAATTAAAATTATTGATTCAATGTCGGCTTAGAATCGTGAAACGCACTGTATGCACCCGCACATAGAATTGATTAAACAAATATTTGCATTTGCCTGTGGTCCTTGGGCTTTCCCCCTTCGACGCCCCTGATCCGTTTTTTGTCCGATGTTTTGAGTTGCTCCTGCTGTTGTTGTGACTGTTGTTGTTGTTGTTGTGTTTTTGTGTTGTGTTGTCGTCTGACAAATCCTTGCAATTACCGTAATGCCAGCGGCCTTGAATCGAAGGTTGAATTTGTGGGTGGAGCTGGGAAAGGAGGCGAATGGAGATAGGATGAAAAACTGGTCATGCATATGCATGAATTTACATGATGGACATATGTCGAGGGGCAGGATACACACACACACACAGGACTTGGTCATTTGATTGCAGTTGTGTGTGGGTGTCGGGCCCTTTATTTATGAAATCCTGCTGTGGTTACCACAATACCTACAAAAACTTTGTCCCTAGCTTCTCCTCTCAACTCTCAACTCTCGAAACTCAACTCGTTTTATTTCTGTGCAAGATTTTGGTGCTTTTTTCCCCTTCGTCGGTGAATTATTAGTTTGTGCGTTTTGAAGAGAGCTGTAATTTTACCTCTGAATACTAAGTAGGTGGCCTTTGTATGTGTTTTTGGATTCGGAATAATTTAGATGAGCCCACGCACAAGCCACTTACACGGTAGAAAAATGTTTGTGCTCTTAATTGTAAAGGGAAGACTTTTGCAAGAATCGTAAAGGAAAGTAGGAATTTTTAAGGAAATATACATTCAAATAGATTGCAGTAAGAGATGACAATGCTTTTTGCACTGTGCACTGTTCATTTGTTGCTCCTCGCAATATTAATTGCACTCCCAGGCTGTTTCCTGTATTCTTGGAGGACGCTGATGACTCAGCTCCCAGAGCAACCGAAAGTTGGAGAATCCCTGACGCTGACAGCCAGCAGCAGGCCTAGTTTTTGCCTTTCTTTTTTTGTGAGTGGGCTGCTTTGGGACTGGCCACTATTATCGCTGGGAATTGGAATGGGAATTGGTGGACGAGTCGAGTTTGGAGTTGCAAAACTCGGCCTGCTCTGCAAGCTGTTTCCCTTTCGAGTCGCCAGCTGTCACCTCCCCCTTCTGGCCATCAGTTTCCTCCTCCTTCGACTCTGGGAACCTGCGTTTTCCTCCTGGGAAAAGAAGTCGGAAGATGCAAATGTATCGTTTCTGTATCTGTATCTGTATCCGTATCCGTATCTGTTTCTATTCTTGTGTCCAGGTGGCAGAGAACCAAAACTTGTGCTGTTCCCCGGACAGCTTGATTGATTTGTTGACTCGCCGACTCAAAGGAGGAGGGCATTGCAGCTTCGGGGCATGTAAAATAATTCTAAATTTTGTCCTCTTTCAGTCGACGCCTGGCCAAACGATGATGAATGGCCGAGCGTTGCTTTTGTTCCGGGGCAGTGTTGCAAATTGCACTAGATTTCAGGAAATTGTTGTGTGCTTTAAGCCAGCTTTAATACTGTTTGAATACTACAAAATTAAACAGCACTACACAGTTTAAAAAAGGAAATCGAATAACCATGAAAGTTTGAATATTTGATTTGGATTTAAGAAATTAATTAATTTATTTGCAAAGTTTGTGGCTTCTGACCAATGAGCAACTACAAAATTAATTAGAAAATTGCTTTGCTTTATTTGCCTGGCTTTTTAGCTGTATTTTCAGTGTTTGATTAAGCTTATTAATTCTTTTTTGCGGAGTGCAGTGTTTCCGTCCCGGGCAATGCGCCCGCCCGCCGCCTTTGGTTTGTGGCTTTTTCGGTAATGACCACGCAGCAACAGCCGGAGGAGCAACTGCACTGGCCAGTGGCGAATGATAAATGGCCACTCCAACTTCACTCCTTCATCCTCCAGCCTTCAGCCCGTCTGTGGACTGTGGAAGGATCCTGGTTCGGTCCTTCCAGAGCAGCGTAAACAACACGGGGGCAACAGGCAACATAACATCGCATCGTATCGCATCAGAGGAGCAAAATATCCTCAACGAGAGGTCGTCGCTTTGCTGTTTTGCTGCTTTTGCCCCAACGCCAAATTGGAAAATATGTGAGTGCTTTTTGATTTTGTTTTGCCTGCTGTTTTGCAATTTTCCTGCCATATTTCTCCGTGTTGCATCCACTCCGTCAGCGTCTTCGTTTGCCATTTCTGCCCCCCCCATTGCACCATTGCACCATTGCACCGTTGCTGGTGCCCATTTTCCCCGGCTGGCTCAAGTCAAGTTAGTCGAGTTAGAAATTGGAAAATTGCACGGCAGCCTGGACAGGTTTTTGCAACAAACGTGCCAAAGATGCAGCGCAATCTTTCATGGCACTCACGTTGAGCGTTGACAATGACAGCAACACCGAAAGCAAAAGCGAGAGCAACAGCAACAGCAACAGCAACAGCAACACAAATAACAAGGGCAACAGCAACATCATCAGCAGGAAAAGCAACTGCAATCGCAATAAAACTAGTTGACATTTTGATAACGAGCATCTCAAATGGTCAATGGCCAATGATGATTCAAATCTCACGGAATTGAAAATTGCACTGCCGCATAAAAGGCGAAGCAATTTGTGTGAACGCAGAACTGGAGCTTTAAAAAGCCGGATGGAGAATATTCATCCTTCAGGAATTAATCGTTAGAAACTTAAACGCTCTTTGCAAATTAATTAAAATCCAATTTACGCATTTCAAACACAGTTTGCGCCGTGCTCTTTTTGTCAACCAACTCGCTCATTTATTTTGCCGGCAATGAGGGGAAAAGTATTCATTGCAGCTGCGAATCTCTATTTTAGCGACATTCCCTGCCCTTAAACACCTGACGTTAAATCAATATCAATCGAATCGGAGGAGTTTCCCCTGCACTTCGTTCGCCTTTCCCCCATCCATGTTTATCCTACTGATTTTCCACCGTTTTTCCTGCCATCTCTCGGTCCTCCTCCCTTTTTAATGCCACCATTTTGTTCTCTAATTTGGCAGCCATCGACGTGCTTAGCAGTAAAAATATGCAACTGCGGGATTAGGAATGACTTTTACTCCGGATTGGGTCGGGAAATTCGGGATTCGGGGGCGGAAAAATCAGGCGGGGGGGAGGGGTAGTGGCAAAAGGAGGGCTGGAGGTTGGAAAACTCTGGAGACAGCCATTGCCGGAGTGCCATTGAGAAGTTTCAAGTGGCGAAGCGAGCGGCGTGCAAAAAGTTGGCTGCAGTTGCAGTTGCACTTGGCCCAAGTGGCGGGCGTGGTCATAAAACAAAAAGGGGTGTGGCAAGGGGAAAGGGCAGGGGGAGGGGTAACATACATATATATAGAATATCTATATAGATATACATACTCGTGCACCTGAATCTTAGCTAGACATCGTTGTCATTGTCGTTAGCAAATATATGGCCACAGAGGATCAAAGAGCGCTGCACGTTCGAAAAAAGGAAATAATTGCAGTGGCGTCGGAGAGGGGGGCATTCATTTGGACGAGGGTGCCGGATGCACAAGTATGCGTTTGCAAAAGAGAAAAAAATGAAAAAAGACAGGAAGTGACAAGGGAGCTCTGCAACAGCAAAAAAAAAAAAAAAAGAAAAAGAAGGGAAGCTAGCTTTGGCGAGCCGAAGCTTAAATACCCTTGCAGTCATCAAATATCTATTCGATTGAATGCAATTTAATTATCATTTAACTGATGCTTTAGTTAGTTGATCAACACTACAATTAGAGTGGTTTTGCGGTTGTAATAAGTCCAAATAGAGACTTAGAGCGGAACCAAACCCTGTTTTGAGCACCTTATGACCACAGTTAACGAGCCCAATCACTTTTTGGACGATTCAAAAAAAATGATTTTTGGCCAATTTTCGCATTTTTCATAAGGGGTAACATCGTCATTTTTTGCGAAAAATGGCAAAATTTCAACTTTTTTGGGTGTTTATATCATCGGAATCAGAATTTTATTACGAATTCAACGATGTATGCCGCTCCACATTTGGGAAAGTACTTTCTCAGATATTCCAAAAAAACTGGGTTTATTTTTAGCCATTTTTTGTAGTTTTGGGCAAAACAAAAACTTTTTCCATTGGTAATTTGTCTGTTATTTGGGCAAGAAACATCTTACAGCCAAACAAAGTATAGTTTTGGAAACTAGAAAAGCCCAACTATTCATGCCAATGCCAATACCAATTTTCGCATTTTTGGTAAGGGACTAGGTTTTATGAGCAATTTGATGTAGTTTTGGGCAACATCTTACAGCTAAAGAAAGTATAGTTTTAGAAATCAGGGAAGCCCAACTATCTTTGCCACCGAATGTAATTAATTGATCCTTTACTAAGTTGATAAAAACCAATTTGGAACAGATTTGTTGACAATTTTGGTAAAGAAAACACCGTATTTTAAGTGGTATTTCGGTTGTAATAAGACCAAAAAGTGACCTACAGCGGAACCAAACAGTGTTTTAAGCTTCCTTTCTTGTTAGGACTGATAGCTATCGAATGACACTAACTATCGGAAACAAGTCAGTAGGACCGTTCGCCGAGACAATTTGACAATTTGACAACTTGGCAATTAGACCTTTTGCTACGACAAGCGTTCCTGTTCTGGAAAAATCTCCCTAGAATTTGCTAAAACGGTAAGCAATCGTCAGCGAAAGGCGAAAAAAGGCATTTCCGTGGCACCCTGAAGTGTAAACTGCAAAAGAGAAGACAGACGCGCGTGCGTAAAAGCGGAGAGATCGCCGGAAACTTAAGAGCGTGACTTGCAGGATTCACCATTCATTCATCCAACATGAATGAGGAGAGGAAGGCCAAAAGGTTGAGCAAGCTGCGAGCAATCGCAATCGAGCGGTTGACCGCGGAGCGCAGGGAGTGGAAAAAGACTCACCCCTTCGGTTTCGTGGCCCGACCCAGCAAGAATCCTGATGGCACCCTCAACATGATGGTCTGGGATTGTGCCATCCCCGGCAAGAAGTCTACAATCTGGCAGCGCGGCTTTTACAAGCTGCAAATGATCTTCAAGGACACCTACCCTCGCTCGCCGCCCAAGTGCAGATTTGAGCCGCCGCTGTTCCACCCGAACGTTTATCTCACGGGAACCGTCCGCCTGGGGCTGATCGACGAGTGGAAGGACTGGCACCCGGACATCACCGTCAAGCAGATCCTGGTTACCATCCAGGACCTGCTCGACGAGCCGATCACCAAATACCCGGCCCAGGTGGAGGCCCTCATCCTCTACGTCCAGAACCGTCTGGGGTACGAGAAGGAAGTGCGCGAGCAGGCCCTCGCCATGGTCCGCAAAGATTAGTAGGCGTCCTGCGCTTGGCTTCCCATTAATACATTGATACATTAACACAGACATTAATGAACAAAAACATCTAGGCGGTTAGCGTTTTCGTGAATGCTCACCACATCTATTTACTTGTAAAAACTCTACCTTTCGATTCGAGGACCAGCACACAACTATTCACTCTAAAGAATAATAAAAACCAGAACCTAAAATACCATAACTTTTCTTATGGATGTCTGATTTCGGATTGGTATACCTCACAATGCTAGCAACATAGTTCCCTAAGCAACTGCATCCTTAGATTAGTTTCGACATTTGGGTTAATTTTTTTTAACATTTTTATCATGTGTCCCCTGTCAAAACTGCGTTGCAAACTTCTGACTGGACCTTAAGTACCCTCTGCAAGGGTATAAAAAGACCGGGGTGCTGGCACTCGTTTTAAAAGTCAAATTCCCCATGCGATGATGAGGATGTTGAAGGGGCGGCGAAAAGGGGGATCACTGGGGGAAAAGCGGGAAAAACGCAGGCGCTAAGCCTCCTTAATGTCATTTGTCATCTTTTGGCCAAGTACCAGAAGGAGCTGCAGTCGGTTCTGTTTGCTATTATGCAAATATTATTTCGTGCCAAAAGCTGGTGTCGTCATCGTTCCCTTTGCCCATGAAAAGCCAAGGGAAAGTGCCGGGAGGAGCGGCAGGGAAGGTGTTTCGGCAGGAGGAGAGTGTCATTTCTGCCGCCCACTTTGGTTGCGTGCCACACAGGAAAAGGAAAAGGGGGGAAGAGGAAGGGGATAGGGGAACGCCATTTCCGGTAACCGCTTCACTTGCATTTTATAATGGAGCAGAAGGAAAAGTTGCTGCTCGAGACAATCAAATGAAAAACATAAAAAAATAGACACTTGGCCGAAGGTGAGGAGGGTGAATCAGCGGGGGGTGAAAATAGTGCAACTGAGGCAAACTTATTGGAGACATTCAACTTTGCTTTATCGACAGCAGGGCTCTGGGTGTGGCAACAAAGGCCTGTCAAAGCCACTGCCATTAGATCCCCGGCTAAGCCAATTGAATCCCCCCACCCAACAGTCACCCCTTTTCGGAAAAGAATACCTCGACCGATTCTTCCTGCTTTTGATGTTGTTTATTCGTGGTGGTCTTATACCAAAGAAAAGTCGGAGAAAATGCTTACAGCAAAAGACTTTACACTTCCGAAAGAGGGTTTTAATAAGTGTTGAAAACAAATGTTTACAAAAATGTATATAAATCCTAATCATATCGAGAACCTAAATAATGTAATGCAGTAATTGATTAAAATGGTATTATCTATTTTTAGTTCATTATGATTTTGTGAAAGTTGAGCTTAGTTTTGCCAAGTGCTTCACCCAGCAGCAATTAGTTTTGTAAGCATTTGGCCTGCTGTTGCAGTTCGTTTTCATTTTCATCTCCTTTGTGGAGCAAGTGTGGTTCTTGAGTTATCTGTATATTGCGCACACAAAAGCAGGATGGAGTGGGTTTGGGGTTTGGGGTTTCGGGAATGGGGATGGGGATGGGGATGGGGATGGGGGATTGGATATTGATTCGAACTCCTCCGTTGGCAATGTCAGAATGAATTGAAATGAAATGGAACGTGACCAAATTTGGCCACATGTCAATATGCTAATGATGATGTGGCGCTGCCAGCTGCTCACCCCCTCCCTCAACCCCTTCCTCAACCGCCTCCGCAACCACCCCGCCTTCTACCCCAAAAGTAGTTTGCACTATTGTTTTCAGCCTTTCAAAACGGCTACGGCAACAGCAACAGCACATAAGCAACACGCCGAGCGGCATCGTCTGCGTGAAAAGGCTTTAAGCAAATGGCCAGAGAAATGGGACATGTGTAGTGAAGGGTTTTGCGATGGGTGAAAGCGGACGAAGAGAAAGCTGGATGGAGAAAGCGGGCACAGCGGACACAGGCATTCCCATTGCCATGGGCATGTTGTGTAATTGGCGGCCCGAAACGAATTGAAATGGGAAATGGCAAATAAATTGAATGAAACGTGTACCGCACACCCACTGGGAGTTGGAAAGGGATGCCAGACGAACAGACGGCAAAAGAGAAAGAGAGAGAGCGAGAGAGAGAGAGAGAGAGAAAGGGGGAAAAGGGGAAAGAGAAACAGAAATTGAAGGGGCGGAGCGGAGGAGAAGCACAGGTGAACGAGAGGGCGTAGCCTGCTGTTGACCGCAAAGTGGCGTTTCCCTTTCCACATCCGTTCTTCTCACCCAATCCCACCATTCCCATTCCCATTCCCATCCGATTCCGCTTCCGTTTCCGGCCGAGGCCATTAAACATTTACCAACAGCACACGACGATCGTATCGCGGCGGGAAATTCACCGCATTCTGCATTCCGGAAACGCGGTTAAAATTTAAGTTGTGCTGACCAACGATCGCAGTTTTTGAAACTCGAAAATATATAAAACCAAAATATAGTGATTCTAACTCACTATTTTATTACTAGCGCATAGCTTCTAAGTTTTCCCAAAAACAATTTTAAATATGTTCTCTTTTCATATTTTATGCAAATCGTTGATGTTTGTCCGTTGTTGCGCAACTTCCTCTTCCTTGAAGTCTCTCGGAAATCCTTGTAAAGTTGACTGCTCATGGGGTTTCCCCCGTTTCTTCTTCCTATATTTTTTTTTTTAGTGCCAACAGATGCTACCCCTTCCTCGCTGCGCAGTTTTTCTTTTTTAAATAACTTTCTTGGTGCGCTCCTTATTTTTCCCCCATTGTTTTCGAGGGCAGAGGGAAAACGCCGAGTCTGTGGCACAATGCCAGCTGAAAGGCAACAAAATCAACAAAGGAGCGGCGAGCAGAGCAGATAAAGAATTAATTTTGCACAAATACGCTTACATGCTGCGTAATAGTCGGGCGGCAGTTTGCACTTTGCGCCCGATCCTTGCGACTCCTTCCCCATATCCCACACACATATATATATATGGGTGCGCGAATATGTATTAGTGTACGTATATATGTGTGGGCATGGGATGGGGGCCATGCAAATGAAAGGATAAAGGATAAAGGCGGGGGAAATTTGTCTGGTTTGTGCATTAAGCGTAAGCTGCAACAAATGACAGGGGCAGCGGGGCTAGGGAAATTGGAATATGGGGGGAAATGGGAAAATGCGAACAATGGGAACTGAGCCAAAGTCCCGCAGGACAATGACAATTTGCGGGCGTTGACAGTTGCCCAAAAAGAATAAAGAAGAAATGGTACACTATTTCATTGTGCATATGTGCACAGGCAGAAAACTATTAGAAATACAAAGAGTAGCTCTGCTTAATCAGAAGAAAAAGATTTTTGACAAAAAATTAGTTTACTACTACCAGTAGCTAAAATTTGGTAAATGCAAATCAGCAGTTTAAAAACCTGCGACATCTGGAAAGTTTTTTTTGAATATCTCAGGAAGTACTCTTCCAAATGTGGAATGGCATACATCGTTGAATTCGTAATAAAATTCTGATTCCGATGATATAAACACCCAAAAAAGTTGAAATTTTGCCATTTTTCGCAAAAAATGACGATGTTACCCCTTATGAAAAATGCGAAAATTGGCCAAAAATCATTTTTTTTGAATCGTCCAAAAAGTGATGGGGCTCGTTAACTGTGGTCATAAGGTGCTCAAAACAGTAATTGGTTCCGCTGTAAGTCACTTTTTGGTCCTATTAAAACCAAAAAACCACTAAAAATATAGTGTTTTCTACCGGAATTGTCAACTAATCATTTCCAAATTGGTTTTTATCAACTAACTAAAGGATGGCAATAAAATGGCTTTCAATCAAAAAGATTGTAAGGCTTCTCTGTTTTCTAACACTATACTTTGTTCAGCTGTAAGTCGTTTCTTTCCCAAACAACACACAAAAATCATTTTAGAATATGAAAAAAATTGCATAAAATCATTAAAAATAATTTTAGGGAAAATAAATCGTATGTACAGTACCGTAATTTCAAACGATTTCGTTTTAATTTCGGTTTTGTTGGATAAATAAATTTATCACTATTATTATTAACAATTTTATTAGCCCTTAGCAGGAGGCACACAAGGGAAAGAGGTTTTTAAATTTTCTGATTGGAGTATAATGTGTAATAATAACATAAAATAATAATAAGATGTATACTTGCATAAGTAACTTATTTATAATAATACAAAATATAATAAAAGAATAATAGAATTTGACTTTTTTTAATATATTAAATATTTTCTTTCTTTCAGGATTCATCGATTAACGAGGGCAGCTGGAAACCGAAGGACATGGCAAAGTTTCGGGCCAGATTCTTCGAGGAGGAGGTCGGCGATACAATATACTATAATAAGATACAAAAAACTATAATAAGATTATTAACATAATTATTATTAACATAAGAAACGAACTTATTATTTATTTAGAAATCGAAATTTTAAAGATAATAAAAACTAACTAATGAAATTATTGACTGTTTTAATGTGAGAGGTGTGCGGGGAATTTTTTAGACACCAACTAAAAAGAAACTTGTAGCAGGTGTATTTCGATTTAATCTAAATCATCACGTCTGATTCTGTCCATTTGGACAACCAAATTGGCAATTTCTGAAAACGAAATACCAGGCGAACAGAAATGCCTAGCAGGTGACTACAAAATCCGAAATCAAAAAAGCAGCCCCCTAAGATATGCAACAATATAAGCAGCCCCTTAAGATATGCAACAATTCTCATCTGTGGATGGCATCAAATATCGTGGTTCGAAACTTGACTATACATGATCTACGAAAAATACGGGGATTTTGTGATGGGCATCACTGGTAATACTGGGTTTGAAACTCGAAGAAAAATATAAATTAATTTGATAAGAAATGTTGCATATCTTAGGGGGCTTCCAAATTTGTAGTATACTTATGGGGGCTCGTAGACAAAACGTGGTGTTGCTCTTGCTTATTTTTTATAGCATACTTTTGCGGGCAATTTGAAAATATTAAAAAAAAGAGTAACCACCTACTATTGCATTCTGTTCGCCTGGTACTTCAAAATGAGGTTTGGTTGAATATGTTGGTATTGGCGGAACGAATTCGAAGGGACAAATTGTAGCATACTTATGGGGGCTAGTAGACAAAACGTGGTGTTGTTCTTGCTTATTTTTATAGCATACTTTTGCGGGCAATTTGAAAATATTAAAAAAAAAAAAGTAACCACCTACTATTGCATTCTGTT